AAAGGTAAGTAATCAGGATTCTTGGCCCTTTAACTCCCTTAAATTGATAACATTGCCTTGCCCGTTTTAAATTTGGAGTAGTCCATTGTTATTTATAGGAATTAAAAGCTTTCAAGATTAACTTCATCTCACTTCTTCTCAAAGCGTGAGTCGATATAAAACCCAATTTATTATGAATTGTCGCTATTTAGATTTTTATGAAATTTATTAAATGTAGCTCTAACAGTAAACAATGAAAAATATCACAAGCAAGCATCGCTCAGCGGTTCTGCAGCGAAGAATTTTCTAAAAAGAACTACATACGTGAAATATATACACGTATTTGGTTATTAAAGATATACTGTGCTCAGATTTGATTCTAGAAAATATAAATAATTGCTACATAGTCTCTTTATAAATATTAAATAAACATGACTTGACTCCACACAAAAAAGTAGATAATTTTACACACTATATATGGTCACAATATGAATATAATTATAATGTCACTAGTAAAACTGCCAGTTCTATTAAAATACAAAAACAAAAAAACTACAATTGACAGTTAACAGGGAATGCAGCTTGCAATAATAGTTTATTCAATTTTATTTTTCGAATTTGACATATTCTGTAAGAATGTCATGGATTTCACAGTGTTTTTTTTAGTAATATCGGAAAAATGACGGTTTTAGGAAAGAGACATCTTAAAAAATTCGTAACATTCAATCAAATTTGAGTTCTACAAACCTCTAAAAGGCTTTTTATCCCGAAACCAAGTGCCTATGACGAAAAGGAGTGACATCCGCCATTTGCCGCAACGTTCGTCGTAAGTTACCCCCCTTGATATGCTTGATTTTTGTTTTAATTTTTCTAGTACTCTCTTTATGTCACTCAATACGTGGAAAACTTTTACATTTCCCAGTAATGAATACAAGATTTGTGCCTTGAATATTTGTCTATGGATCATGTTTTAATTTTCCTTTTTTTAGTTAGGCAAAATCTATTAGACCACATTACTAAAGTGTCTATTTTCTCCATGTAAACAAATCATAACACGAATACGCCCGTTATAATGCCGACTATACATGTCAAACACTAGTGCATGTCAACACGTGTAAACAATAAACTGATAGTTGACAACGATAACGGGAACAAAATTCTGAAAAAAATAGTAATCAAGTGTAGCCAAAGGGGGAAAACTCATGCCGAACGTTGGCAAATGGCGAATGTCACTCCTTGTGCTTTTTTATAATACCGTAAAATTTGACCAGTTTTAAAAGTAACAGATTGGGTTCAAGTGATAATATATTGTTTGAGGCCATATGCTCTGATAATACTTAAAGATATTTAGATGTAGCAGAAACGTTTTTAAAAACCGTTACACGATGGAAAATATGCGCCGCAATCTGCGGTCCCGTTCTCGAGTTCCTATGTTATTTGTCCAGACAAAATATCACTTGCTTCTATAAAATATTCGTTTAAAAGATTATCTATCCCCGCCGCTTTATTTCGTTTAAGCATAGAAATTGCCTTAAGTTCTTCCTGTAAAGTAATATTTTTATCTAATTAAAAAAAACAAGGATTAAATCATAAAAATCATGGACATTGTTAAAATATTCTGCTCTTTCATTTTCATTCAATATTAAATCAACAAACATGACTATAAGTAGCAGTCCTAATTTTAACAGTATATTTCCGCATTGTAACGGATGTTTTCATACAAATTTAATCTTTTTACGAGATGATTACTTTCACTGAACCCCAGGCTTTGTGCACCGTGAAGCTATAACAGTTAAAGTGTGTTTGCACAAGAAAATATCATATTTGCTATGTTTCGGATAGCAACTATAAAACTGTGACGTAGCGCATACACGAGCTGATTATAGTCTTCATTTGCATGTTAAAATTCGTAAACGAACTTCAGTGTTACCGTGGGGTTTTCTGTTTAAAATCCTAATTTATGAACAATATTTGGTGAGATTTACAACAATACTGTTCAACAGGTTAATGAAACTGTAGAATGTTTGGTTTTTAGGCCTACGGCAAAATAGTTTTTCATATATTTATATATTTATTTAATGTAGCTTTAAAGGTTGATTTTTATATATAAATCTTATCTAAAATAATTTTCATTTATTTTTCGACAAAATTTTCGAAGTTTGACAATTTTAAACATTTTTCGATAAAATAAATTGACCAATTGCGACATTCTATATGTTGTCCTATAACTACCAAATGTCAAATTCTACCAATAGTCAAACAAGACGGTAACTCTTTTGACGAAATGTCATAAAAATGGCATTAATGATATCATAAAGATGTCTATTTAATTTGCTATGGCAGACAATGATGGCGTTCCATAGTTTACGTATTAGTTATCGTATGCTGTAAAGGCCCTTTTCTCTGCGCATATGCTCTGATAATTGCAAAGTCCTACGTATGAGTTATCTTTTTTTATAGAACATGTTAAATTGGCACCAGGACGCTTCCGTACATATCACATATTGTACATAAAGGCCAAGTTTTATCTCTGTGCGGTCTGACTAAATATAGACCGTAGAAGTCCAAAATGCGAACTTCATTTTTGAAAATGGATTTTTTAATGATAAAACCCTCGTACATGAATGTTTTATATAGATAACAGGTTATCGATTTGGCAAAGAACGTGGCCTGTCATACATTGATGTTTGTCTGAGGTTAAAGTGTTTAGATTATTCGGTCGTTCATTATGACATAATGGGTTGTGCAAGTTATACAGTTATTGCAATCTAAAAATAAAGTGGGTATGTACACCTGAATTCGAGTAGCGTAGTAGTAGTCATAGAGTTCAGGTTATGAAGAGTTCATGTTATTTTTCGAAATCATATCTGCAATTGTGCAATATTTTTTGTGTCTTTATGGTTTTTACTTTCAGAAAACATTTTCATATTCTCTTTAATAAACCTGACATTTATTTAATATTTTTTACAATTTAAAGTTAAACTTATAACGGTTTAGAAAAAAATGAATGTATTTGTTTGTAACAATCATTGAACAGATTGAATAGTATTGTCAATTTAATTATATTTAAAACTCAATAAAAATTCAATTTGCTACATTTTAACAATTTCGGCTCATTTGTATATTTATAATTTTAATTTTCTTTCATTCCTCATTTATCACTCTTATCTCGACTGTGGTGTTTCTAACCTAACCTGCTGAAGGCGAATGAATGTAAATTTAAATGTTCTCTTATAAAAGTGAAAGAAATTCACGAGGAACTAAAAATATCAAAAAACAAAAATATATTAAGAAAAGAAAGCATGCCTTCAGGGTCTCTTCACTGACGAAGCCAACACTCAACCATTACGCTATTACGCTGAATAGATAAAATGTGAGTAATTGTTGATCGAGGTGATAAAAATTTATAAAATAAAATAATGAAAGAAATAATGAATTCGAGCTGTATTTCATGTATGTGTTCAATAATCTTATTGATTTTATGTAGCTGTCACTCTTTTAATCAGTTTGAATAAGTTTATTTACTTATCGTTACGGCGTCAATTTCCGGTACATTATAAATACAGACCTATCTCTAACAATAATTAAGAAATAGTACACGGAATTGGGCATCATAGAATTGATTATATAGTGAACTATCAGTCAGTTTGACCTAAGCTAAAAGCTGACGTCGGCTGACTGTGACGTCGCTGTAGTGTTATGAGATCCCATTTTACTACAAGTTAAACGAAGAAGGAAACTAAAATATTGTAAAATTACAAAAGTTCTAGTGAAATGTACTGAAATCTGTTATAAAGGCGCGTTGGAGAAAATATTCCTCCCGTTAACACACCGCTTAACTTTAGCGGTCGATTAAAAACGTAAAATACTTATTTACCGGGCACTGCAGATGATAACGTGACCAAAATAGTACAATTTGCTCATAAAATGGCGAGCTGAACGGTCGGTAAAAGCACAAAAATTGAGGTAAGCATACATTTAACGTTTAATTTATATATCAAACTAGGCCGCACGCAACCCCTGTATAAAACCACGTATTGTTCTGGTACTGGTTACGAGTGTATGGTACGCGAGTAACAGTTTGTTATATAAATCATGGTGGCTGATTTGGTACGCTTTTGTGCGTCGTGTTGTTGATAGCGACAACAGGACAAGGCGGCGAACGGCGTATTGTCAGACTTTCGCAAACGATGAACGCCAAACGGTGCGTTGTCGTGCGGCGTGTTGTCGCGATGTCACATTGTCGCTCGGTTCAAATTGAAGGATTGGCTTATAAGCCAAGCGACAGGACGACATCGCGACAACGCGCCGCACGACAACGCGCCGTTTGGCGTGCTTCTCTAGAGACAGGACGACAAGACGACAGCGCGACAACGCGCCGTTTGGCACTTTGTCGCGTTGGCGCTAGCGAAAAGGCGATAACGATATAGGTTGCATTGTCGCCATCGACGCACAATGTACCAAATCAGCCACCATAGCTTGTTTATAAGTCAACTTTTTTTTCGAAAATCGGAAATGCCATTTTTCAAAAATAAGGTTCATAATAATTATGACCAAATTTATAAATATTTAATTACAGATGGGCAAATAATGGTTTAAGACCATGTTGGTAGTAGCGCTAAATATGAAATAATTTGTCGTTAAGGTAGCAAAATGTAAACATCGTAGTTCAGAATAAGATGTTAAACAAAAAATGATAGGGTAACACTGAGATGAAAAGACTATTGAAATAGCGCATGGGGGAACTCATTGCAACAAGCAACGTATCATACTTAACTACTTGAATATTTGTAGTCTTTGAAAACCATCGGCATACATTGGCAATATGTACGCAATTAGAGAAACCCAAGATGGCCGACATGTTCCAGAAGTCAAAATATATTATCTTAAATCTACTTTTTGTGTATGTTTTGGGTATTGTTGTTGGTGGCGATAAAGGGGTAAAGATGTGCTCTCATTACAGGTAAGTTACAGTGAAGAAATAGTATAGAAATAGTATAGAAAAAAAACATAAAAGGAAATATATATACATGCTTTATAAACTTTTGTACATGTATTAGACTGAAATTTATAATATTAAAGAACAAATGTTCAGAACTAACTGTTTTTCTTTCACAATTCAGCCATTCATGCATTTTGGTTAACAATTCTGCTTTCCGTTCACACATCTGATTTTAGTTACATTTCTTTCCTCTTGGGGTTCACAATTCAGTTTTTTGTTCACAATTCTGCTTCCTACTAAAATATTCTGCCAGATTTTTACATATGTCATCTAGGATTTCAATTGGATAAGCGCCTTTCATCATATAGCTTTGTATCTTTGCGAATAAACTGTTCTTTTTCACAGTTTTCTGAAGAGGATATATTAAAAGGAAGTTTGCTGTATCAAAATTCGTTATAAAGATTATTGACAGGTTATATGACCGTATAAGAATGTTGTTTGCAATATTAATCTTGTCAAAGTCAGATAAGCTGTGTATATATGCAAAAAAGCATTTATAAGAACCATAATAAAATCTTTATAACTAAAAATTTAAACGTCTGTAAGCATATATAGCGAGAGTTATATAGCAAACAAGTGTTTTAATACACGGTCAAGTCATTCTATTGCATTTTGAAACGGAAAGTTAAAGGCTACTTTTATAGAACGTTAAAAATAATAGATACTGTGAAATAAAAATGCTTTGAATAACATATAGATATTATAGAATAAATATATATACATATTAAAAACTCTGCAGAACAACTTTTTCTGGGATTCAAAGATTTTATTTACTGCTGAGATGTGTTTAACTTATGATGAAGTCTATATTTTTGGACGAATTTAGACTATTATTGTAAAAGACATTACAAAGGGTCGATATGACGAGGTTGTACTGTATTTGATAATTTTGTTAACGAAATAGATAAAATAAACAATCTACCAGCCATTTCATCAATTTTGCAGCGATTGACTTCTTCACAATCCCTGCTTTAGAAAATCCCATATATTCAAGCACATACATAGGTGCGTAGTTTGCAAGTTTGCATGACGTTTTCACAAGTGTCGAAACAAAAAAGGATGATTCTGGAAAATAAGAAATACCATACTTTTTATCAATAGTAAAATGATCTTAATGATTGGTTGATATTTGTAAAGTTAAAATATATTGCCTGTTTACAAAAGAAATATTTACTTCTACATTTGTAACTTTCCTGTCAAACGTCGAAAAAAATATCGATGCCAGTTGAGTTTGATTTTAATCTCTTATGATGTTTGCAGAAACTTTTTCGGATATTCTCCAGGCCCTATATCTCGTGTTATCATTAAAAATGTTCGACTTTTTAACTCCACTGATAACTCATCATTAGTATATGACATTATGATGTAATTATATTAAAGAGTTTTCGAAAAACTTGTTCCTTATTTTCTCTATGCTGTCTTTAGTACAGCAGTTATGGTATTTTGGTGTCTGTGGTAAGTGAACAATTTATGTACATGAACATCGACCATGACATTTGTAAATATGTATGTGTTATCATGTCAATGTATACATATAATCATATCTCTCACATATATTTATGATATGAAGGTGTACACATGTATTGTATTATCAAACCTTCTTCACATGTTGGTACGTCATGACTCCAGTGACCATTTGCTGACTTTGTGATGACGTTGCATCCACTAATGCTGTATCCATGGTGACAATAAAGCTCACATGTGATCTTGTCACTATCATCATATAGAAGCCGCCATTCTCCATGATGTGCCCGACCTTGATCTAAATATATAATTGTTCAAATGTCCATATAATTTAACAAGAGCGATCAGTAATCACATGTGTCGCTTCATGATGGCCAATTTCATGTTGGGACAAAGTTTGTGACAGACGGACAGACAGACGGACAGTGCACAACTAGACTTGGTACTGATAATTCCTGAAAAGTTTGGATAAAATTGCACCAGTAGTTTATGAGGAGTAGTCCGGACAAGCTTTTGCGTATCTGGCAACACACAGAAAAAACACCTTTTTATCAAAGGGCCATAACTCGGCCAAAAATCATTCAACCGAAAAAAACATGCAATATGCGCAAGGACTTGAGCTACAAATCAATCCTGTAAAGTTTCATTGAAATTGCTTTAGTGGTATAAGAGAAGTAGTCCGGACAAACTTTAAAAATAAAAATTATTAAAGGGCCATAACTCTGACAAAAATCATTGAACCGGAAAATGCTGATAATATGCACAACTACCCTTGGTACTGATCATTCCTGTAAAGTTTAGATGAAATTGCACCAGTAGTTTATGAGGAGTAGTCCGGACAAGCTTTTGTGTATCTGGCAACACACAGAAAAATACACTTTTTTATCAAAGGGCCATAACTCGGCTAAAAATCATTCAACCAGAAAACCCTTGCAATATGCGCAAGGACTTGAGCTACAGATCAATCCTGTAAAGATTCATTGAAATTGCTTTAGTGGTATAAGAGAAGTAGTCCGGACAAACTTTTAAATTAAAAAATATTAAAGGGCCATGACTCTGCCAAAAATCATTGAACCGGAAAATGCTGACAATATGCACAACTAGACTTGGTACTGATCATTCTTGTAAAGTTTGTATGAAATTGCACCAGTAGTTTATGAGGAGTAGTCCGGACAAGTTTTGTGACGGACAGACAGACGGACAGACAGGCGACGGAGAAGTGATCCCTATATGTCGCCACTACTCCGTAGAGGCGACACAAAAATATTTCATCATCCATCCATCTACCTGTCAGTCTGTGCTTACAAGAGGTTTTGTGATAAAAACAAATCGCCCAAGCGATTTCAAAGCTATACATATGTAACTTCAATATATTTCCATACATTTAATGATAGGTTTACCAATAGCAAGCATTTGCATTTATGCATTATACAGGTACCGGCCCTGGTCTTGACGTCATTTTAACGTCAACGTATTTCCGTAAAATTCTCACTTGACATGCAGGCTATATCATTCATCTCGTCTTTGATAAATGTTAGTGCACCGAGCGTACCGGATTTGCTCGCATCCCAAGAATGTCAGTTAATATTATGTGTGTTGATTTTTAGCTGCTCCCCTATCTGTCCGATACCTTACATACATACTTTTGCCCGTCTTTCTCTTTCTAGTGCATCTTTTCCTTATTGGACAACCCCCGTATATATGACAATTGGACAAAATTTTCATTTTTAAGACATTTGGTTTAAAGTCACTCAACGATGTATCGTTTCAGTAGTCTACGGGCCATCAAGGGGAGAGGGACCACGTGCATTCAAAGCGTGAGTGAATACTTCTTAATGAAACCAATGACCCAGTCTTTATAACTCATGATTTTTCATTCATTATTTACTTTTTGTTCAAAGCGTAAAAAAAATATTTAAAGGCACATTATGTCTAAGAAACACATAAAGTTTAATTAAGGGCAAACATGAATTCTATAATGTTTAAATAATGGTTATAGAGATTGTTAATTTATAAAATAAAAAAATACAAATAGTTTTTTAATATGTTCAAAATAAATAATATTTAATATTTGTAAAAAATAACTTGTTTACTTGCCTACATCTAGTAAGGAAATGACTGTCATAGCGTAGCGTCTTTGTAGACTGCGCATGTTCCGATCTATTTTTAGTCACAGTATTTCACAATCACCAGGAGCTATTTCATTAGCCCCACGCAGGTGTCGATGAAAGAAAAAGGCATTTAGTACAGTCGCCGCTTAGTCTAGATAAACAATACCTAGCGGAACTATATTGAACAAAAACCCTTTATCCTTCGTTACTAAATATAGCTTTTCATTATTGATCAACACAAAATATGAAAAGAATTTATTATCCTTTCAAACGCAGCGACCGTCAAGTACCGGCGTCTTTCAGTCTAGAAATTTATGATAGCAATAACTGCTTCTGTTTGAAATACTCTATCAAATATACATGAAATAAACCTTCTATGGTCCAGCGCGTAAAAACTCATCAACCAGAAATTGCTACGCATGCATTAACATATTTCAACACTTTATATATTGTACCTCTTAATTAGGTTCCTTTTAAGTGCATGCTACGGTCAACTGATTGCATATTTTAAAAACGGTTGCCCTTAGCAACTGGTCAAATTTTGTTATTTTTATGAACACTTTAGATTCCTTTTTTATACGAAATTTGTAAATTGGTTTTAAATAAAATTTATAATACACTTATGTATACGAAAGTTGTAAACTGATTTTGAACGAAATTTATAATACACTTATGTATATTTTTGAGCAATTTCATTGAAAAAAATAAGCTTTATTACATGCTTTTCGGTGGTTTATAGAAATATATCAGTGATATAAAACTGGTAATTTCACTGTTTGAAACAGTGAAATTACCACTTTGATAATTTCACTGTTTTGAATTTAAGCCCTTTACGTTGTTTCAGTGAAATACCAGCGTACACAGTACTGGGTACCAACTTAATGACGTGACGTCGTAAATGACGTCACGTTGTATTATTATTTGGCGCGCTTTTCATTCAGTATTAGGTTTAATGTCTTTTTAAAACGTTTCTTTGCATGTAATTAAAAGAAAATTTGTTTAGTTTAATGTAAGATCAAAACCAAAAGTCCATATTTCACTCGTGGCTGCGCCACTCGTGAAATATACCTTTTGGTGCTCACTCGGTGAAATATATTCCGATCTTACACTGAACTAAACAAATATCCTCTATATAAACCGGTTTCCATCGTTTGGGCAACCGTTTAGGCTGAATTTGTTTTAGATAAAGTCGATATAAGATAGAATTAACCAAAAGCTTTCGTTTAGACCCGGGGTTCTCGATTCGATTTTCAGCCGTTTCAAAGTTATGACGCAAGAGCGATTTTAAACCCTTAATTTCGAAAGTCAATAAAAACGTTAGATTTTTTTACCAATCGATCCGTCTTATCGCGCTGATTAAGAAAATATATAGTTTTATGGGTCTATCTTTTACCGTTAAAGACACCGGAAGTGACGTGACGAAAATTTCAAAAATCGATTTTTTCGTTATTACTTGACCGAATATACACGTATTTGGTATCGTTGGAAAGCATTTTACCACACCTGTAACCTGACGCTATTCAAAAAGCTATTGGACCGGAACTATAATCACTGAAGCGTATAAACTTGTTTTCTGTACCACGCCTGGACCGAACTTTGGCGTGTTTGGTATCAAATGAATGTCTTAAACCGCTCTTTATGAATACGGACTAAAATCGAATGCATAAACGCTTTTTCTATTGAACATTGGTGACTTCAGTCATTTAGTGATTGGACGTCATAGAGTAAACATCATTACGCAGTAAGTTGAGTTTATATTTCAAGTACATATCTTAGTTTTTCAGTGAAAAATGTTCAATAGAAAAAAGCAGAAAATCGAATCGAGAACCCCGGGTCAAACGAAAGCTTTTGGTTAATTATATCTTATAACGACTTTATCTAAAAAAATTGGAGCCAAAAGGGTTGCCCAAACGATGAAAAACCGGTTTATAACTTAATTTCTTTCAATGAAATTGCTCAAAAATATACATAAGAATACTATAAATTTCATTCAAAATCAGTTTACAACTTTCGTATACATAAATGTATTATAAATTTCATTTAAAATCAATTTACAACTTTCGTATAAAAAAAGGAATCTAAAGTGTTCATAAAAATCACAAAAATTGACCAGTTGCTGAGGGCAACCGTTTTTAAAATATGCAATCAGTTGAACGTAGCATGCACTTAAAAGGAACCTAATTAAGAGGTAGAATATATAAAGTGTTAAAATATGTTAATGCATGCGTAGCAATTTTTCTGGGTTGATTGATTTTACGCGGCTGGACCCCTAGAAGGTTTATTTCATGTGTATGATTGAAGAGTTATTTCAAACAAAGCAGTTATTGCAATCAAAATTTCTAGACTGAAGACTGCCCGGGTACTTGACGGTCGCTGCGTTTTGAAAGGATAATAAATTCTTTTTTATATTTTGTGTTTGGGTCAATAATGAAAATCTATATTTAGTAACCGAAGGATAAAGGATTTTGTTCAACATAGTTCGATTAGGTATTTGGTGAATCTAGACTAAGTGGCGACATGTACGTTAAATGCCTTTTTCTTTCATTGACACCTGCGTGGGGCCTAAATGAAATAGCTCCTGTGCATTGTGAAATACTGTGACTAAAAAAAAATCGGCACATGCGCAGTCTACAAAGACGCTACGCTATGACAGTCATTTCCTTACTAGATGTAGGCAAGTAAACCAAGTTATTTTTTACAAATATTAAATATATTTTATTTTGGAACATATTAAAAAAACTTATTTGTTTTTTTTTAATTTAAATTGAATGTTAAGCACATATTATTTTCAAACATTTCTTTTATCTGTAATGATGTCGTTAGTTATCTCTCCGTCTAGGGCCGAGGACTGACCTACAAAATGTCCGCGATTCAAGCCCAGATCGTGTATACAGAGTCAGCTCCGATTACTTTCCGGGCAGATGAAAAATAAATTTTCTAAAAAAAAGACGGATGATCACATTCTAAGAATAGAACGATGATGTTCATTTCTGAAAATGAGAATCCAATAATGGCGTTCGCGCCTTGCGCAAGTTCCGTGGACTGCCAAACCGACGCCTATACTACCTCCAGCAAAAAAGTAAAGCCAATGAATGTGAAAAATTTATTTTTTCATAAAAGCTAAACAATGTTAAAAACAGTAGTATTTTGACTTCTATAAATTACTAAAAGCTTTACCAAAAATATTATATATATATATATATATATACTTATACACTATAACTTTACCTATTGCCAAAAAAGCAACACATATGGAAAAATGGTTCAGGTTATTGGCCAAAGCAGTAAAATTTTTTGGACACTATAAAAATAACAGCCAAATTAAAAAGCTTTTGGTAATGAAAAATAAAAATGTATTATTTAGGCATAATGAGCCTTTAAACAAAGCGAAGGAACTTTTTTTATCTACGTTGTTTTGACAGATGTACGAATATTTAAAGTCAAGACATACTTAATTGAGTGTAATACATGAATGTTACAATATTGTGAAATTACGAAAATATTTCTGATGGAACGTCCGGCCACATGGACATGCTTAATTGATAAAGCGTGCTGGACTGTCTGACATCGGTCGTTCTTGGGTTTCAATTCCCCGAACCGCTGCACTTCGACTCCCAAAGTGATGATGATATGAAATCTTTTCTAAGGTTCATTCCGCACACTATATGGTCTGCTCTTGACCATGTTCAGAGGTAACAATCGAGCAGTTTCCTTACAAGTCGAACGGGATTCTAGTATAAGCAGCTTACTCAGACATGAATATGTGGTCGTGACATCTGCTGATTTAGTGATTCAATGTGGTCCTCTACGTGATCTGGAGCGTAAACTACAACACCCACCCCCATACGGATACTTATTTAAATAACATAATATTTCGTCCATACTGGACAGACGTGCACTTTTTCCGTTTCACCTTCTACAGCAGTTATTACAATTGAATGTTATTATGAGACAAATATATTTTACTGGTCTTAGCTGTATTCCATTTTTAAACCTCTTACAACGGTGTTCTGTAAAGGTCTTCCGATACAGGCAAACTTCGAAAAACAAATTACATACGTGTAAAAAGTGAAGGTCGATGATGAAAAGTCAAAGTATTAGTGAAAAATTGAAATAGGGAAACCACGATGGTGAAAACTCCATATAAATTCGTGTTTTCACAATCATACTTTAAATAGACCTTTTATCACCATCGTTTATTTTCGTTTTATTCTTCGCATTTTCACCAAATTGCACTAACCTTTTAGGACAATCACGTCAGCAACACATAACTCGAAAAGTACGATGATGAAAATTTATATTGAAGGTTTTTCCACCATCGTCTTTTCGTTAGTTTTACTTTTACCATTTCGTTACTACCGACTATTTCAAAAATCTTTAAATCATAATTCCCCTTCGTTTTGTTCTTTTCGACTTTTCAACATTCGTAATTTCGTGTTTTTTCTTGTTTCGAAGTTACATGTGTGTCCCGATGGTCCCTAACAGGACAACGTACCACAGCCATTTACATTGATATTTCTTTTAAATCATTTCCGGATTTTTTTTCGTCATCCATGTTAAAATTACTCGACTGAGCTATCTGGCCGCTTTACACATCTTCTCCCTAAAAATAGTGAACAGTTCTGAAACCGGGTGACACTTGTATCTCTGTGTGCATGCCCAGAGTTTTGGAAGGTGAAAGTATGATTTGTGAAAGTAACGAAGGGTTAAAAAAGTCGAACAACCGACGATTTGGTAAAGTCTGAGTAAACGAAAGCAAATAGGTATAAATTCCCGAAAGTACGCGATACTTACGATAGGGGAAAATTTCCCGGAAATTACCGAAACCAAATTGATGGTGAAAAGTCGAAAGGTACGGAGGTAATAAGCACGAACGAAATGTTAATCGGGGCTTTTTCCATTGGGTGGTTGCGTTATTTTGGCTTTTCATGATCGTACTTCCGGGACTTTTCGTTTATCGTCGTTTTTTCGACCTTTTTACCAATACCGTGGTTTTTGTTTAATTCGACTTTTTCGACATCCGTACACTTTTTCATATTTTCGTTGTTTCGATTTATGTGTGTCGCAATGGCCCTAACGGGACACCATATCTTGCAGTATTGATTGGAAAAACCAGTTTAATCTAAAATAAAACGAAACATGATATTTGTTTTCTATTGACGAGGTTATATTGGATAAAAAAAACACAACATAATTTAGAAATACTTTTCATTTATAAATAATCGGTTACAAACATTTTGCATTGAGGGGGAAATTAAAAAGCAGGGGCATTTTAAAGGTATTTTTAAAGGGCTTTGTTCAAAAAACTTTTCACTTTTGGCCGTAGGAGGGAAATCCCAGAAGAAAGGGGGAAACAAAACATTGTCCCCAGTGAAATACTAAATGTTTTTCGTAACGGGTATTTTGGTTTGGGGTAGATTCCATTTTGAAATTTGAATTTTTTTCCATATTTTTTCAAAAGATTCTTATAAATTTTTAAAGGGGAAACCCTTTGGGGGTTGTATTAAGTCTCACCGGGAAATTTTTAAAAATCATAATTTTGGGGGCCCTTTCAGAAATTTTGTTGGAGGGGATAACTTATACGCCCCTTGATTCTTTAAATTTTAAATTTAACCACCCAAATTTTTTTGTTAAGGTAAATTTGGGTTTTAGTAAATTTAAAAGAGTTTTGTTACGAGGATATAACACTGGCTGGGGCGACATCAAAGGTTGTTTCTGCCCTAAAAAAAATGGCGAGGGGCCGTTAGGCCGAGACAATTTTTTTTTTGCAGAGAAACATCCCGAGATGTCACCCAGTGTTATTACCCCCCGTAACTAACGAGTTTCCATATACTATAACTGTTTTTTCCGCAATGACATAATGTTTTATTTTTTTGTTTAATAGAAACAAATAAATAAATAAGGATAAATAAATCGTTAGCTACATTACAGTTATTTTATTATAAGGCAGTTTTTATGCCCCCGGGCATATTAGTAATTGAACCGTCCCGTCGTCTTTTTGTCCGTACGAGGTTAACCTAGAACGGCAAGTTTTGGATTTTTCTTTTAAGTTCTATTAAAAGTTTCTACCTGTACAAATTTGGCTTCTTAGTTTTTCTTACTTTCTAATCAATACATGATTCTGGTTCAAGTTACATAAACTATGGCTTTCCATATTTACAAGTTATTTGCCTTTTTGCTTAAAATTTATTTAATTTATATCTTGCATATTTTTGGAGTGGTGGATACTTTAATGGGTCCTCTATTTTTTTTGTGGAGGGTTATTAAATTGGTCCTCTAGGGTCAAGGTCAAGATCACTGGTTTAGAATTTTTTTTAAACATTTTTGCTCATACAGCCTTTATTTTTTTGTTTGATGTCTTTCATGTTTAATACAAACATGCCAAGGGAGGTCCTCCTTCTTTGGGTATAGTAAGAGGTCATTAGGGTCAAGGTCAGTGTCACCAATGTGAAGGTCACCAATGTTAAAAATAGATTTATACATTTTTACAGGTGTTTTAACCATATTCTATAGACAGATGTCATTTATAATTGATAGACACATGAAATTTGATGGAGTTAGTGGTTAGTTGGATCAAGGTGCTAATAGATTTTTACACTTTTGCCCATACAACCTTTATTTATTGACAGATATATTTCATATTTGGAAGGAAGATAACTTGCATGGTATTCATCCTTTCCTTGATCTGGGGTAAGGGATTCAGTGTTGTCAATGTCACTTGTGCTAAGAATACGATTTTTACACTTTTGCCCATACAGGCTTTATTTATTGACAGGTTGTCTTTTCATATTTGAATAGGAAGATAACTTGGCATTTGGTATTCTTCCTTTTTGATTGAGTTAAGGGATCAGTTGTTGTCAAGGTCACTAGTGCTAAAAAATAAAAATATTTATACACCTTTTGCCCATACAGCCTTTATTTATTGACAGATATATTTCATATTTGATAGGAAGATAACTTGCATGTTATTCTTACTTTGGATGGAGTTAGGGGTCACTTGGGTCAAGTTACAAGTACTAAAAATAGATTTTAACATTTTGCCCATACAGCCTTTATTTATTGACAAGTGTATTTCATATTTGGTAGGAAGATAACTTGCATGATATTCTATAGGTGTCATTGGGTCAAGGTCAAGGGTGCCAAGTATAGATTTCTTACATTGATATATATTTGATAAAGTTGAATATTTATCACTTCACAAGTCATAGCACTGACTTGGCAACTTATATATTTCACAATTACAAAATGCCATGACTCTGTCAAGCTATATAACTTGTGTTTACAATTTTTAGCAATGTTTCTGTCCATAACTGAGTGAATGGGTAAACATTTTTTTAAATATTGCTACTGACAAGAATCGGAGCCGGGGGAATTTGTGTTTAACAAACACGTTCTTGTTTCAAGTTGTTTTCGCTGCCGCAAAAAAATATACAAACGACATCCAATATTAGAGGCGGATTGTATACTGTTACCAAGATTGATTCAAGATTAAAATTCTTTTTTTTTCAGTGGAAATTGTTCATTCAGCGGATCGTTAATTAAATTGTTTTTATTTTTCATTGTATTTATATGTTTATTTTATGTTATTTTATTGATTTCATTTTTTTTTACTTTTTTTTTTGCTACTGGTAATGGTCGTTACCACTGCCCCATTTGAGCCTCTATGAAAAAACTGCATTGATATATACAAGGTGCGAAAAAAACTCGACCGATATATAACAGTCGAGTTTTTTCCTATATGAATCAATGAAAAAACTGTACTGTTATATATAACAGTACAGTTTTTTCATTGATTCATATCATATCATATCATATTCATATCAATACAGTTTTGAAATGCTCGTTGAAGTGTACTGAGTATAATGGGTTAGTAAGAACAATGGAAAAGTAATACTAATACTTCTGCCAAGACTACATTTATGTTTGCGACTGGTCATATGTTTCACTTTTGTTTTATTTATAGTAATCAGAACTTTGTTATTTATGGTTCCGACTTCGGGGGATTTTGTCTGTTTCCAGCGACAATTCCAGTTACCATAACTAGAGTAACTTCGCTCATAGTTTACTTTAGTCCAATCGCTATTTGACATTTTTGTACGTTAAAAGGTAATATCCATTAATAAAAAAGAATGTAAGTATGTCCCATTATAAGTATGGACACATTGTTTAAGAATTGTTTCAAAAGAAACATATGAATTTTAACAAACGAAATATGCCCCAATATCATTTTCAAGACCAGGGGAAAAAGCTGGAACGGTAGATGGCGCTTGAATAGAAAAAGATGGTTTCAAAAGATGCATTCTTGACTGCAACGAAGGGTACAGTCCAAGTGGATGCCATGTTATCAGGAAAGATAGCTATGGAGAATGGAATCACAATATATCATAATGTGTTGAGGGTAAGTTCTCAATGTTTAATAATTACATCATCGAAAATCATCTTATTGTATAATTTGACATTTGATAACAAGTTGTTTTATTTATCTTTAATTACCATAAATGTATGACTAAGTACTAGTATATGTATAAAGTGTACTGATGATTATGCTAGCTGTTAAGTAATTCAAATTATCTTAACTCCTACCTGTGCGATTTGATTATTGATAATCTTAACTCATTTTACGATTTGATTATTGGAAATTATATGCACATCTTTATGTATTACAGTCGAGTGGTTCAATAAGAAAATAGTGGCATGTTACACAGCGATCGCTGCAGCTATAGCCGCATCTCCTTACCTTCTAGGCACTGCAGGATTTACCACTGTTGGAATTGCAGCCGGTTCACTTGCAGCCACATGGATGTCCTATATTGTATGTATGTCTGAATGTTTTATCCGTAACTAAGTATGCGCTGAAACCATTAAAGTTTTTTTTCATAATTGTTATTATATGAATAACACATAGGTTTGTGAGTAACAGTAAAAATATCATTCCGAGTAAAAATATTGTTATCCGAGGCGTTAGCTGAGGGTAACAGTATCTTAACGAGGGGTGATAATTTTACTGTTACACACAAACCTATGTGTTATTTATATTATTACCCCAGATAATAACTGCCATAATCTGGAATTGTCAACTAAGTCCATCCGTAGCCAATTAAACCAAGAGTAACAATAACTTAACTGTCCTAAATCTTGCAAGTTTTAAGTGTACTTTACTGTAGGCCTACTTGAGAAGTTATTTTTCTTTAATTCTTTAAGCAAGTGATGATATCTACCAGTCATAAACATAAAATAAGCTGTGTTTTATTTAGAAAACAAAACAAAACCCCATTTATAAGGTTACGACCTGTGAAATCTGATCCTTCTGTATCCAGAACTGTCCAGAATATTCTTCGCATGGTTTTTGACAAAGTTCATTTAAATGATATCCTATATGTCTGTCCACCATATCCCTAATGTTTCACTGATTAAAATTGTAAAATAATCCTTTGTTTTTGCATGGTTTAATCGTCTGCATGTCCCAGTTTGACACATAACTATTCACATTGCAATTACTTCCGATGAAAACGGATGTTTACTATTTGACTATTCCAGGGTGCAAACGACTAAATGTTATAGGTGTAAGATGCCCTACAGTATCGTGGTGAACTTCGAGAATATAAATAATGGCGGCCATTTTATTTCATTTTATTTAGAAAATAGACCACGTGACCAGATTTTATACTGTTAAAAAATACTGTTACCTATGTAACAGTACAAAATTCTTAGTCACGTGGTACACTTGCATTAATAGTAAGAATAACTCCCAGAGGCCTATTACGAAAAAAATGAGGGGTAATAAAATGAAATGGCGCATACTATCTTTGTGTATTTATAAGCAGTTATATATCAAAAGCCTCTTTACTAAAAGCAAATTAGCTGGCCAAAAAAAACCTCGACAAAAGTAAATTTCTCAATGTTATCCAAAAGTTTACCAATGGGCTGACACAATTGCTCGGAAGTTGACCGTATTCTGATACAATGTGTTACTTTCAAAGTTTGAAGCAGCATCTCAATACGCCATTGTCAAATATTCCATGTTTCGTTCGCCCCCTTTAATTTGATCATCGATCGTTTTTTAGCACTCATGATTAGATCTCATAAAACGGAAATTACGTCGTTTTGGGGGTAACGACGATTTAATGTTAGCAGGAATTATAACGTATTTATACTTCATTAGCATAATGCGTTAAACAGCCGACATAAGGGAAAAAAATCATTTTTGGGCCACATCTGCTGCAATGAGGCAGCTATGGAGGACATAATTTCAATTAACCAGTGCAGAAGGCGTTTTAGAAATATGTATTTAAATCGAAAATGAATTGCTCTTTTTCTATTTATGCTCGCTTTAAATTTTTCTTTAAAAGTAAGACAGCTTGTTTGTCCGCGAACTTTTTGAGCATATTTTGCACACAAAAGCAGGATTATTTCACAAAGGTTTACTAAGAGATGGGATTTTAATTGTCAGTCATAAATTCTTATTAAAGTGTTCACCACAATAATAAGACTGCTAACGATGTTAATTTATCAAAACTAATAGCTCCTAACAGTGAATAAAGTAAATAAATAAAATTTGTAAATAATGAAATTTACAAAAGGATGGCATTTCTGAGTTTTGTTGAATAATTGTGATTTTTTTTTCACGGAATTGTTTGTTTAGGTACTTTTTATCGGTATTAAACTTACACCATGTTCCATGTAATTTAGTGGTAAATATTTTTCCATGTAGCTATTTTCTTTGAAATATAATCTAGATATTAAATCTTTACAGGTAATAAATCTACATATATCACTCCAAAACCAAAATAACATATTATATATCAATGGAATCAGCAAATATCTACACTGTATGTCTTTCTAATTTTTGTATTGAAAAATATAATGAAAAAAAGCAAAAACCATTAGCAGTGACACACAATGTTATCGTATACAAGTGTCACGTGATCACCCTCCCTACTGGTTTTTGAAGATATCGTTCCAAACAGAACAATAATGAAGTCAATAGAATACATGACAAATGTACTATGCTCCTTAATTATGTAATTGCAATTTGTAAAAATGTTGCTTTTTCAGGGCATTGTTTCTAAGGGTAGTTTATTTGCGTCGCTTCAAAGTCTTGGTATGGCTGGTATAAGTAAAGCGGCGATTCTAAAGGTCTTAGGTTCTGGTGCAGCTGTTTGTAATGGTATCATAGACATATTCTCAGACAATCCTTGTGAAACAGAATGAAACTTTACCGATATATGGTGATTTGGCGAAGAACATATGATTTGCTGATAAAATCTTTAGATTTTGTTGCTTAAAAAAAAGAGAAAGAAACAAACAAACAAACTGTCATACACTTTTTTTAAAATTTATTTTGTAATGTTCAACAGTATATTTATCGAAGCGGCAATTTAAACACGTATCTCGAAGATAACAATGTACATGATAATCTTATCTTTTTAGTGGTGATTCGATAACAGTGTTGTAAATATTTTCCTATAACAACGATAGTTTAATGTTTGATATAAGTGTAGATTTTAATGGATTTTAATGATCAGATTAAAGTTTTGTCTCATCTTTGTTTCTTGTCTTTGTTACAATGTGTACACTTGTATGAAATAAAAGGTCAATATCTACGTGTAGCTGTAATGAATCAGCAAACTGGCCATGTTCTTATAAAATCAAAACAAACATGAGTGTAAACTGGTTATACTTTCAGTTTTTTTTTTCTTGGCAAATCGGCATATTTAACATACCTTTGGTCAAAATAACAAATACAATTGACGCATATGGCCAAGATATAAAACATCATAAATAGTTTACAAGATAACACAAATAAACTTATAAGTAAACATGTACATTCACAAGGTTGAAAGGGCAGCTAGCTTCCGTTTAAAAAAAATATCCTCCTTAACTGGAAAGCTTCATATATGTATTTTGCAGTTTTATAGAGCTTACAGTTACTCCTACATGATATAATATTGACACATTTCTATACATTAGTGCAAGAACAATTACCCAAATATTTAGTTCTCAGATCAACAAGGTAATGAAACATCACAGAACGAAGCCATCTGACATGAACCGAGAAAACAACTGGCGAGGACAACAAACATGACCTGGGCAAACAACTGGTGAGGGCAACAAACATGACCAGGACAAACAACTGGTGAGGGCAACAAACATGACCAAGGTAAACAACTGGTGAGAGCAACAAACATGACCAAGGTAAACAACTGGTGAGAGCAACATACATAACCAGGACAAACAACTTGTGAGGGCAACAAACATGACCAAGGTAAACAACTGGTAAGGGCAACAAACATGACCAGGGCAAACTTCGGTGAGGACCACAAACATGAGGGCAACAAACATGACCAGGGCAAACAACTGGTGAGGGACATCAAACATGACCAAGGTAAACAACTGGTGAGGGCAACAGACATGACCAAGGTAAACAACTGGTGAGAGCAACCAAACATAACCAGGGCAAACAACTGGTGAGAGCAACAAACATAATCAGGACAGACAACTGGTGAGGGCAACAAACATGACCAAGGTAAACAACTGGTAAGGGTAACAAACATGACCAGGGCAAACTTCGGTGAGGACCACAAACATGAGGGCAACAAACATGACCAGGGCAAACAACTGGTGAGGGACATCAAACATGACCAGGTAACAACTGGTGTGAGGGCAAAAACATGACAAGGGCAAACTTCGGTGAGGGCAACAGACATGACCAGGGCAAACAACTGGTGAGAACAACAGACATGACCAGGGCAAAAACAACTGGTGAGGGCAACAAACATGACAAGGGCAAACTTCGGTGAGGGAACAAACATGACCAGGGCAAACAACTGGTGAGGGACATCAAACATGACCAAGGTAAACAACTGGTGAGGGCAACAAACATGACAAGGGCAAACTTCGGTGAGGGCAACAAACATGACCAGGGCAAACAACTGGTGAGGACAACAAAACATGACCAGGGCAAACAACTGGTGAGGGCAACAAACATGAAAGGGCAAACGTCGGTGAAGGCAACAAACATGACCAGTGCAAACAACTTGTGAGGGCAACAAACATGACCAGGGCAAACAACTTGTGAGGACAAACAACATGACGAGGGCAAACAAAAAAAACTGGCGAGGACAACAAACATGACCAGGACAAACAAATGGTGAGGGCAACAAACATGGCCATGGCAAACAACTAGTGAGGGCAACAAACATGACCAGGGCAAACAACTGGTGAGGGCAACAAACATGACCAAGGTAAACAACTGGTGAGAGCAACACACATGACCAGGGCAAACAACTGGTGAGGGCAACAAACATGACCAAGGTAAACAACTGGCTGGTAAGGGCAAAAACATGACCAGGGCAAACAACTTGTGAGGGCAACAAACATGACCAGGGTAAACAACTGGTGAGGACAACAAAGGAGGGGAATGCCAATTGATTAATTACAAACTATTTCGATAAAAAGAAAATGTTAATAATAGTAAGACTGATGAAAATAACAGCTAGATTTAAAACTGAATAAGATATCATTAGGTACATTTTGTATATAAATCATATATGAAATAATTTCGAATGTTGAAGAGGTGAGTCATTAGACCCTAGGACATGACAAATAACGCACCTGTCTTATCTGATAGCTGTAATACCCATGTCCCAAACTTAAAAAATTGGGTTTAATCTTGAATTAACTTCCCATTGGGCCTTTTACAGAAGGTGGGTTTAATGTTGTGAACAGTATATAAACAGCACTAGGTTTGTGATAACGGTTAAAAATATAAATCCCCGAAGAAGATGCTGATACCCCCAAGGCGTTAAAGAGGGATGATATTTTTTTCTTGTTTCCCTACAAACCTAGCTTTTATTGGATAAACACTCGTACTACATTTTTATTATCTTTATAAGTACATGCATTTTTTTCAGATTTTTATTCATAATATATGGTATACTTGAATTAACCCATTGGTCTTTACATGAAGGATAATAATAATGAATAATATGAATAGCTATGATTATTGTTAGCTATGATGAAGTAAACTGTAACATGATACTCTAGGTGCGTACAGCTCCTTTATAATAGAAGAGTTCCCTAGATCTTTAATAGTACCATCGCGGACACTGATATGTAAACACATGTATCATATAATATAGTTTAAGATAATAAACGTAGTTAGAGCACATATATATTTATGTCGTTTCATAAACCCATGACGTAACATGGTGTCAGAACTGGAAAGATAATAATTCTTAAAAGACGGAATATTTTAAATAGTTTAAATTATAAAATTCCTAAAGAAAAGAATATTATATAAAAAGGTAAATCATTCCTAATGACGGAATAATTAACAAATGTGCAATAAACATTCTTTAAAAAAAGGACAGAAATTAACTATAATCTCCTTCTTGTTGGAATATTACATTAACATTTCCTTAAGTGCTGGAATATTTAAAAAAAAATGAATTTAAGTGGTATCCCGCAACCTCAAATGAACTGGACATCAAACCAATCTTGTAGAAGAATTCGCAAAATTTCAAGAGCACTGTGAATTAATATTTAAAGGACCCTTGAAAGATCAAGAGGAAGATGTCCATGTTACAATGCTATTGCTTTATATGGGCGCCAAGGGAAGAAAATATATAGAGGCCGCCAATTTTATCTAATGCAGATAGGAAAGAAACAAAAAAGATCTTCCAAAAAGTCCGAGAACACATCGCTCCCATAATCTAACCCAGTATTTAGCCGCTATCAATTCAATATATCATACACAAGGCGAAAAAAAAACTATGGAACAATTCATCACAATAATAAAAAATAAGGCTAACAGAATGTGATTTTTGGAACAATGAAAGATGACATGATCAGAGATAGAATTATATTTGTGCGTGTCATGTTCGAAATTAAAAGAAAGCTTTTGCAAGTAGGGAAAAGATCTGAAATTAGACAAGGCTAACAAAAATTTGCCAAGAATTTGAATATGCCTGCATCTCAAATAAAAATGTTCGAATAATGTCCAAGAAAGTGCTCCGGTACATGCAGTATCAAGACCGAAGGGACGGATGCCTAGCCGTTCATTGGGCATCCAAGGTCGTTCGTTCTCGGAACCCTTCATCGATGAATCCAGGTCGATATACAGAAACATCGAGCAATCCAGGTTCGCATTGGGGAACACGTTCACACAGTACAAAATGTAACAGGTGTGGAAATCAACATACTGACAAGCACGTTGTCCCGCAAAAGGCACACAAATGTAACAATTGTAAAAAAATGGAACCACTGGAGCAATGTTTTGTAAATCTAGAACAGTGAATGAAATTTCAAATTTAAGTTCTGAATTATACATTGACTGTGTAGAAAATGTGGACAGTCTTGACTGTGTAACAAGTAAAAAATGGGCGATGTTTTACAGAAATATTAAATTGGAAATAGTAAAAAGGCTGTGCAAGATGAAGTTAGACACTGGCTCTCAGGTAAACATTTTTGCCATTATCGTACCTTTCAAGGTTTAGGAAATCAAGGGCACCACTTGAAAAAGTCCCCACATTTGAAATTGACCCGCCTACCAATGGCAAATTCCTTGCATAAGCGAAAGGGCAATCACTCTCTCCTTGTTCTCCTGCTGTTTCAGGTCAAGCAAAAAATGTCACGTTTCATGTCGTAGACACGAAATCCCCCCACTAATTAGGTTGTGAGTCGTGCTTGGGCTTTAAGCTCATATGAATTCGCTCCATTCTGTACAAAATGATTATAATCATAGAAATAAAAAGGGCATTTCTTTACTAAAGGTCGTCCCTTTTTGACGGATCTATGCCCAGGTTTTTTGAGATGGCATAGGGTTATGTCCCTGGGGAATGTAACATTCATGATTTGACCCAAATGCTACACCCAGTTGTTTCCTCCTCCCGTAGGATTCCAGTTGGCTTTACAAGATAAAGTGAAACAGGAACTTACACGAATGGAAAAAATTGGAGTAATTGCTAAGATTTTCAACACCCACTGAATGGTGTAAATAATTAGTTGTTACTGAAAAAGTAATGGCGATATAGGTCTTTGTTTAGACCCTCGTTCGCTTAAATAGTGCAATTAGCGTACACCCTACCCGCTCAAACCACTTGATGACGTATTACAGTTTTGGTAATTTGAAAAAGTATTTCACTAAATTGGACCTTTAACTAGTGCTTACTGGTCAATACAGTTATCTGAAGAGTCGTCATATTTTGACTGCATTTAACAGTCCATTGGGGGTCTTTAGGTATCTTCGATGTCCATGACGACGATTAAACGTATCAGGAGATTTTTTTTTGGTTCGCGCCCTTGAAGAGGCACTGATAGGTTCTCGAAGGGGGTAACTACAATTGTTTGATGAATTGTTGATGTATTTGTGTATGGGGTTCCACGAGGGAAAGTCATGACCGAAATTTAGTAGCTGTCCTTGAACGTGCTTTGAACAAAGGCATTCTTTTCAATTTTCCAGAAAGTTTGGATGTAGGGTCTCACCGAGATTAGTTATTTTGGTCACGTGTTAACTGCAGAAGGCTTAAAAGGCCGATCCCGCG